AAGGGAAACGGTGAAGCTCTTGATGAAGTTACTACCACTGATGTGACTGTTATCGACGATAGAACATTTCCTGATGAACCCCACGTGAAGCAGAAGCCAACGAGATCGAGACACGTACGGAACAAGATACGTCCTGTAAGATTAAGAGACTTTGTTGAATTGTATTTTTTTGTTTGTAATTCTGTACATTTAATTAAGTTATTGTTATTGGTTTAATATAAGTGGCTATTGTTCGTCCCGAACAATACTAAGGAGAGGGCAGTGTTGCGTCAGCGAGGTCACGTGACTAGTATCACGCCACCCGTTTTCTAGAATTATCCTGTTCCTTCGGGAGTGCTCTAGCATTTGCTACATTGGGGGTGGCCTGGTATATATAAGATGGTCACGGCGTGATGTGACAATGTGTGTAGGTAGTGAGTAATTGAACTGCAGTCAGAAAGTATTGTTGAAGTTAACGTTCGTTGTTATAGAGCGACTGTTGAAAATAAGTGTATCGGTAAAGTTATATTCAGAAAGAATAAACCAGTTTTATTAAGAAATGACTTGTGTCGCTAAAGTTTCGTGGGAACGAAGTTACGGAAAATCAACTAACGAACAGAGACGTTACAATGCTTTCCTAAGACTTTGTAGTATTTAATTCGTTTTTATGACCAATAATTTCATTAGCTAAATAAATATTATGCCAATTTACAGAATAAGCGGTGCTCGCAACATGTTCCGCTAAAGCTGATTAATTAACTTTATGTTAATCTATAGCCTTTTTATATTCCTTAATCCTTTACATGTTAAATTTCTACATGTATGAACAACGTCAGTTACATCACATTTACAGGGGTTGTTATGGATACCACACTTATTCTACTTTGTCATTAAGATCAGTAATAAAAATTCTAAACTTATAACGGGGAGAAAGACGTTACAATAAAACAAATCTGATTTTCTTATATATGTTACTTATTTGTGTGGAAATACTCTTTGCATATAGCAAACATATCCTTCTACCCCAATAAGTATTCACATGTAACATGGTACACTGTAACACCTTTGGCCTATTACAGTACTTACTTATTATAAACCCTGTCAGTGTTATGATTAAACCCTTTATCAGTGGCAACACACTTTAAAAAAAAAAAAATTTCGACATTAAATCTTTATAATAGGTACAGTTATTCAAATCCCTACTAGCAAACGTAAAGGAAACAGAAGATTTTTGTGATCTAGAGTGACACGTTTTCCTGCGTGGCACCATGACAACTGAACAATGTACAATGACGTAGAACAATTGCATTTCTAATACGTGTTTGGACTCATAGTTCAGCTCAGTTGATAAGTTCTGGCATAAACAAAAGTCCTCCTGGATGATGAGTACAAATAGCTAGACTTGAAATGCTAGTTTCACACATCTCTGTAATGGACTAATTAAGAAGACTGCAGGTGAAAAAATATCACTATTCAAATATGATTTTAATAATTTTCGCTATGCTTTAAAAAATCTCGTTGTCCACCTTATACATTTAAAAACACGAACGTAAGATTGAAGAATAAATTGTTGATTTGAGGCATTATGGGTTGTGTTTAAATGTTTAGTAAGCATTTGGGAAGAGTTCGTTACATACATAAGATTCAAGTACTGAAGGGTGTGGAGTCATTGAATAAACTCTTAATTGTCTAACCACTTTAGTAGGCTTGTGCTTGTGGAATTACACTCACTGCAGGATATTAATTTTTTGAAGCGAATGCATCCCCGTTTCGTTCCTATAATCTTCATAGTACTAGTTGTGAAACCTCAATTTTATTTCAAAGGATTACAAGTTTATACTTTTTGTCCTTTCCATCATTATTGTTATAACTTTTTTTAAGTTTACTTTCTTTTTCTGCTTCGAAGTATATTTTCTGGAAAAACTGTCCCACAATATGACGAACCCAATGGAAACGTGCATCTCTTTAAACAAATGTAGGGTCTATAAACCCATAAGAATCGTTTTTTGGACCATCTCAACCTTTATATACAGGTATTACATCAGGAATGCCAATTTACCAAATTTTGACATAAAAAAGCTAAATAAACAAATATTATTTTGCTTATTAACATTAAGTGACTATTATCCTTTGCAGTTATCTTGAACTTTTAATGAAATACACTTGTCACTAGCCAAGTCTGATAATGAGGATCAAATAAAATGATTGTTAACCTTTCACTCAGAACTTGCAATATGTTGAAGTTTGCAGCCAAAGTTTATACCATGGTTGTTTGGCAACACAAAATTAATCTTTGTATGCTTGTTTTTTGGATGGCTTTATTGTGTGTGAGCATACTTGAGAAAAACATAAGTAATAAAAAAATGTTGGTGTCATCTTGCTCTTTTAGCACAACCTGAACTCATGAGTTGTTATCCTATCAAGTTTACCAAGTAAAAGTACTATAACGGCTTCAAAATTTGTGTAACTCTGCAGAACTTAAAGTACTATAATGGCTTCAACATTTGTGTAACTCTGCAGAACTTAAAGTACTATAACGGCTTCAACATTTGTGTAACTCTGCAGAATTAGTTTTATTTTGTTTGAACAACTGAAACCCTAGACCTAAAAATCTGGGTAGGTTTTACAACAATAAAATATATAACAATAAATCATTTACCAATAAATACTTTAGATAATAATAATGAAACAAGATAATAAAAAAAAAAAAAAAAAAAACATCTTTAGGTGCAATATAGAATTTGACCTTGATGGTTACCCAGTTGTTGCAGTAGCCTGTTTTACTCATTCAGAAAATGTACACAGGGTTGTAATAACTAAAAATTTAACCACCATATCTTGTTGATAACAGAAGCTGCATTCTTTAGCTTAAGTACTGGAAGTTACATTATCAGACTTTTATTAACACTGAATATAAATCTAACTACTCTTTGGTTGATAATAGAAGATGCTTTCTTTAGTAAATATTACACGTTAGACAGTATCTGAAATTATTACTAACACCAACTATTAATACTAATTATAGTCATTAAACACCAGTCAAGCTCAAGTTACATTAAAATATTCATTGTTAGCAGAAGTTCTACCACTGTATAAATTAATGGAACTAGTACACATATAGCAGCATATGATTCTAGAAAAAAAAAAAAAAAAAGTTCATTTTATTGTTACGACATGAAATAATTAAAATACATGTAATATTATCAATCATAATGACATTATAGATAGATAATATGACAAATACGTTTTTCTTGGATTAAAAAAAAGCAAATGGTATTATCAATTCTTTCCACTAATATTTTATCTGTTTACATACATGACCAAATCAACTCAAGTTTTTTATATGATTAAATACAATATTTCAAATAATAAAGCTAGTAGTGGAATTGGGTGAATAACTTGGATTTCCTCATAAGTTAGGCAACAAATCTTATTGCAAGTTTCAATGATACGCAACTCAGCAGGTTCACTTTTAATTATCTAAGAAGGTCCATAATCCAAGTTTTCAAATAACTTGTCACATTTGCACAAAAACTTTTAATACTTTATGCAGTATTGTACTGTTTAATAGCCTTAAAATTAGTCTTCAGAAAGCTCCACTGTAAAATGTATCCATCTGAGAAGGTCGCTGAAGCGGGTGAGCTAAAAGCTTAGCCATGCAGTTGTGAAATTTGGTTGTGTTGTGTGCTACCTCAAAGATATAAAATGTTGACCTTTTATCAATGTCACAGAAAACATCGAAGATCTCCTAAAGAAAGAGAGAGAGAAATTCATTAGTCATATTGTTTGTAAATATTAACATTTCCTTAACTAAAACTGTATTTCCGATAGGTACTCACCTCTCCATAGAAGCGAGAGCTAGAATCCCACAATAAGAATATTGTAGAAGGTCCAATGTAGAAAAAGAAATTAAAGAGATTATCTACCTTCTGAGAATATAGTGACAAAGTTAATGAAGTGCATCTCCCACTAGGACAGAGGGGACCCAATGAGAACATCACTTCCATCTCAAGCGGGGAATACTCTTTGTCCATTACAAGTGGTAGAGCAGAAAGGTTCTGACAAAAAGACATCCTGTATGGTGGTAAATTGGCACAAAGGTGGGTGAAATGTGAAGACTTCTCAACTGTCCTGTATATCTCAGGAATCTGCAGACCATGTATGTTAAGTATAACTAGGGTAATACATCAAGCCATACAGCATGTGAGAAATACTTATTTGATATACTTACAAGAACATGCAGATGTAGGAATGAATCATTCCAGACCTGCATCCAGAGTAGAATGCAATACCCATTTGGATGGTCACAATCACTATGGATGGTCTGGTCCTTAGTGGTGGGGGCAGCATATGCTACACTTGCAAACAGACACCCCTGTTTTATTTCTGATCGAGGGATGCATCCACTCATTCTCTTGCCAGTGGGATAACATCAACCTTGAGGAGAATTCTACATATCAATTAACCCAGTGGCTTGTTACTGGGAAAGTAAAAGTTCTCCCATTCCACTAGAATAAATCTGGAGAAGGGAATTTGTTTAAGAGAGAAAAGTGGAGAGGTGCATGGACTGAATAGAAATAATATCATCCTTGAGCCACAATGGCAGTGGAAGATGAAGAAATGGAGGGAAAAACACAGAAAAAACAGTGGATCTCTGAACATGCTCCAATGATTGGTCAGAGTCTACTGAAGAGGATCTATGTGGGCAAGTCCAGGACGAATGAAGATTTGAGAAAAGCTAGACCCAAAAAGAAATGAAATCTCTTGTGCATGAAAAAAAAGCAGCAATGAGAGCTTTGTTAACCAGAAGTACCATGTCTTGAAGATATAAAAGTTAAAGCTGAGCCTGCCCTAAGAAAGACCCCCAAATGAGTCACCTAATTGGTGGGGTTCAATACTGCCTTCAACTTGGACAACTTGACCAGCCAACCAAAATGAGATGACTCCTGAATAAGAAGGGAAGTCATGGCATAGGATGCTTCTGTGAACAAGGCAAGAAGAAGCTAATCACTAATGTAATAGTGAAACTGTAAGTCCAATGTATACATCCTACATGTAAAAGCTTTCAGGACCCAAATGATAACATATAGGGTCATAGACAACCTAAAGAGAAGGGCCCAGAATTGAAAAAACTGATTACTATGAACAAAACGAGGAAAGTAATGGGCAGTCTGACAAATCAGACTGTGTAGAAAAGCATTCAAAACATTGACTTTAGTAATTAACAATACAGGACAGAACACACATTTCAGATTAAGAAAACCTTCCATCTTGAATTGAGAGATGACAAAAATATAGGTGATAGATCTACAATAGGTTGCTAATCCTTTATCTTTTTGAGTATGACAAAAAGATAGAAGTAAAACCCTGGAATGGGGTCAAGGATTTGTTCTACACGATTCATTTCCTGAAGAAAAAATACTGCCTCCTCCAGGTGCCAAAAACACAAGGAGATCTGAAGAGGGATGGAGAGACTAAATGAGAAGGAGAAAGAAGAGGTTGAGATTAAGAGGTCAAGGAAAGACCCTGAAAAAAAAACGTGTGTGACCCAATGATCTTCTTCAAAGGGAGTCCACAAGTGTGCAAAGTGGACAAGAAACAGGAGAGGGGCAATTCTATGAGGCTCCCAAAGACTCAAAACCTGCTGGGACCCCATGGACCAAGAAAAGTTGGAAAATAAAGTGAACAGAGATGATTGCTTATGAGCTACTATGGTTCAAATTTGCAACATTTTAGGTATTCCCCCAAAAACCTAATCTCAAAAGAAAGGTGCCAACCAGAGTTCCCTGAGATAAGTAAGATACCTCCACTAAACAAATCCCAGAAACAAAGAAACCAGTTAAATGGGGCACTACAGAAAAAGGTTTTCGAGGCCATGGTAGAGAGCAGGTAGGTTCAATTTTTTTCCCAGTAAAGTTGTTCGGATTGCAATGTTAAGCCTCAGAAAAAGTTGAAATATGGTCAGATAGCAAAGAAGCTGAGGAAATAAAAGATGAAGAAAAGCAGATTGAGAGTGAAAGAGAGAGAGAGAGAGAGAAAGTAGGTGAAGAAAGAGATTCAAAAGCTGGAAGAAGAAGGGATTGAACCTCAAGAGAAAATGAAGAATCTCAATCATATTCAACACAATAAGATTCTAAAGGTCTGTGAGAATGTGGCAACTAGAGGGGTCATCAATAAGTTAAGATAAAAATAAATTGGCAACAGCACAGATATCAGGTGAGGGGGAAAATGTGCATATAGTGAGAAAAATATTGCTCATGCAACAGGATAGCCTGAGGATAATAGAAAATAACAGAAGTTAGAGAAAGAATGTCACATACCTGTGATGTCAAAGTACAAAGGTGGGGTTACCTAATCCTTGCTGGAGAAAGAGGAACAAGACGCAAAAGGATATGGTGAGAGCAACAGGTCAAAATCATCAAAAGACAAGGCAGGTTTGTTAGAATCAGATAAAGGATCCTGAATCTGAGATGAAGAAGGTAGAATGGAACTAACCACTTAGTGCACAATGGTGGTTGCATTGCTCACTATCAAAGTGCGTCCATTAAGGAGTGTCCGATGGATTATGAGTGGTGTCAGAAACCTGGATATACAAATTTACTGTTGAGATGAGCCACAGAATCATTTGTTTTCTTTTTGAGTACAAACCAAGAAATTGAATTTAAAAAAGGGCAAAATAACAAATTAACAAACTGGTAACTGAAAGTTACAGTAATAAGTTGAACTCAAAAAATTATGTAATTCTGAATAACAGAGCACAACTAAACACTGCAGTGCTGAGGAAATAAATGAGCTTTTGCTATATACAAAGTGCTCAAGGAGATCACTGTGAGTGGAGGATGTTCGACCCTCTTTTTGGGGTATAGTTTAATGCTGATTAATCATAGATTGGCACAGCACACATTAAAACTTGGATATTTTGTTCAAAGGGCTTGGTGCATGCCCAAAAACGTTCTGGCAGTGGCAAGAGGCATTAACTATCTATTCTGAGGGAGGTGAGTAGCATGTTCTGAATATACTCATAACATTTATTCAAACAATATCTCATAGAACTAAGTTCATTCCCATTTAAAATTTTAAAATATTGCACAAACTACACATAACCAACTGTATCAGAAACACAATCTGTACGCTTTTAATCTTTTAAGTGTTTTGTTCATCAGTCACTCCCTCCGCACTATGGAAAAGGTCACGATGAACAGTCATAAAACCCACTTTAGAGGTTAAAACGATTAAGGACTACTTGACATGCCACATAAACATCTGACCAAATGGTAATGAACATAGAAAAAATGGTCAAGAAACATGCATTTTAACATAACAAGTTAAACTTGCAGTTAGTGAACTAAAAGGATACTTTTTTTATGTTCTTATATTTTTATCTTGTGTACTTGAAATGTAAATGAGAACTAGGAAAGATAAAAAGTTAATTACCCTTTTAACTCAGAAACTAGTCAATTCAATGTTAGATTATTAATAAAATGTTTCGAGGAAAATATTTCAACCAATGTTTAATAAGATTAATGCACTGATGATGCATGAACATTTTGCTTGTTTGTCAGAGCTCTAAACATAAAAATCCTGGAAAGAACAGCTTCTCTACAGAATATGAATGAATGAGTACATTAAATAAAAACATTATCAGTTTATTTGTTTGAGCTAATAATTTTGCTCAGTTTCTGTATAATTACCAGTAATATTTAGATGTAATATCTATATCTACATATATTTGTAAATATTATTATTTCCTTACATCTACATGAAGACCCTCTTTTTATTAATGAATACAAGAAAAAAAAAAGTTTTTTTTTTCCTAACAGGAGTACATGATTAACCCTTCCACTGCCAAATTTTCTTATAGAAAGTTGTCTACAGTGCCGGAATTTCTGATGAAAAATGCATATTTTGAAATGCATTATTTTAAAATCCCTAAATCACCCCACAATGCACATGTATTCACTGCAAATGTTAGAAAAAAAACATAAAAACAATAAACACAACATTTTAGAGGAAAAATAATGTAGTTTTACTACTTTTTTTCTTCTAATGTCTGAAATGCTTGACCGTGTGGTACTTCATGAAGCAGTCCGGAAGACACATGGGCAGGCATCGCCCCTCCCATATTCATGTCTGGTTTGCTTCCTCTTTGAATGTGAAGGGCTTTCACTGCACTCTACACAGTTAGGCTTGTATTTAGGATCTGGCTAAGCCATTGGAAAGTGATCCCCTGTCAGTTGCTCCTCCCTACGCTCTGGGTTATCTTTCGACCTCCTCCCTTTCCTTCCAAATTTATTCAAGGAATAGACGTACAGAGTTTGGTTGCTATCTTTTCCCTGAATAAATGTGGCTCCATTTCTGAATTAGGGTTAGCAGTTGTGTACAGTATATACGAGTTGACTAATGCTGCCTCTCTGAAGAAGTGATAAGTTGCATGGTACCACTTTTTTGCGTTTGTGTCAATATGGGTAGCTGGTAGATTTGTGGTCAAACAAGTCAACTCCTCCCACTGAAGCATTGTAATTGCAGGCCACATTTGGCATTTTCACATCCCTAAATCCAGTCTCTGACTGCTTCGATCAAATTTGTTTCCAAGTGTAGCCATTATTATCCATTGTTGAGAGGAAGTTGACCCTTGCAGAGTCATGCCAGGAACAGACAAGCATATCACCCTTTCTGTAATAAACAGGATCATCACCTTTATTCAGCTGTAATCTTGCTGGTCTAATTTCTTCTTCATTCTCACAGTTCCACAGGCACTAGTACCCTGTTCTGTGAGGGTTTAAAAGAGGCCAGGGCTAGAGAAGAAGTTATCAACATATAAATGATGCCCGAGGTTCAAGTATCTATTATTGCCTATCAGTTTCATAACAACATTATGACCCAAGCCTTGCTCTGGTGCCACAGGGTTGTTATCTCTACCAGTATAAACATCCCAGTCTAACAGATAACCCGACTTGCCCTCACACAATGACCACAGTTGTATACCCCACCTTGTGGGTTTTTTCGGTATGTACTGATGAAAGTATACCCATCCCTTTCACTTCCTCATCGATTAATCAATTGTAAGTTCTCAATGTGGAATGTAATACTGCTTATACAGTGGCTTCACAATGTTCATGAGGGGAGCAATTTTATACAAAGGATCATATCCTTCCTCTTCACATGGAACCCTTTTGAAAATTTTCACAAAAATGAAGGAACAAACTGATCAGCTGGTAACAATTGTGTGGCTGTACATCTTGATAACCAGGGGACTGGACTATACCCCCAGTTGCCCAGTAGTTACTAATCTTTGGCTCAGAACACAATCCCATCATTATCTGCAAGCCAACATAGGCTTTGATTTCATCTGTAGTACACCCAACCCAATCATTGTAACAAGAATTTTCAGGGAGGTCTGCTGGATTATCAAAGAACTCCACGGCATAGGTGTTAGTCATCTCACAAATAAGCTCAAATGCTTCCTGAGGGAATAACAAGTAGAAATAATCTACAGGGTTTTTACCATCAGGCAAAAGTGGAGTCACAGGGCCAGGCCTTTTGGCATAAGCTGGGCACCAAATTGGGATATAATTGTCATAATCATCATCAATGACCTACTCATGATCAGCATCAGCCATGCTCCTATGGCTACCATCATCATAATCACTGTCCCCATGTGCTAAATCATGTGTATTATCATTATTTACAGCATTATCAGTATCTGTGTCACTGTTTTCCCAATCGTCATTGCCAAATTCACTTAATTCTGAGTCTGAACCTTGCATTATTTCACCCAATACATGCTATGTGGCAAGCCATTGTTTTTGTTTACATTTACCTATTGACATGATTCCAGTCAGTGCCCTCAAATTGGGTCAAAAGTCAGGAATTTCACAAAAATAACACCCACGATTGAGGAAATTACACTAAATTACATTGTGGTTGCCTAGAAACCATGCAGGTGTGGCACGAAATAAACTACAGACCGGTAAACGGAACTATGTCAGGAAATCGACTTAAATCGCATTCAGCACTCTACCTGGAAGTCAACTAAAGTCGTGTTCGGCAGTCTACCTGGAATTCAACTAAAGTCGCATTCGGCACTCTACCTGGAATTCAACTAAAGTCGCGTTCGGCACTCTACCTGGAATTCAACTAAAGTCGCGTTCGGCACTCTACCTGGAATTCAACTAAAGTCACGTCGGCACTCTACCTGGAATTCAACTAAAGTCGCGTCGGCACTCTACCTGGAATTCAACTAAAGTCGCGTTGGCACTCTACCTGGAATTCAACTAAAGTCGCATTTGGTACTCTACCTGGAAGTCAACTAAAGTCGTGTTTGGCACTCTACCTGGAATTCAACTAAAGTCGCATTTGGTACTCTACCTGGAATTCAACTAAAGTCGCGTTCGGCACTCTACCTGGAATTCAACTAAAGTCGCGTTCGGCACTCTACCTGGAATTCAACTAAAGTCGCATTTGGTACTCTACCTGGAATTCAACTAAAGTCGCGTTCGGCACTCTACCTGGAATTCGACTAAAGTCAGATGTGGCAGTGAAAGGGTTAAGGAACTAAACAGGTAAATCAGAAAGAAAAGTCAAAGAAAAGACTTCAACCCCTTGGAAACAAATGTTATCCAAATTATCGATAAGAAAGTAAACTTGCAATGTGAAACTAACTTGTTAAGTTATAAATTATCAAATATTAACTGTCTTTACACTATCCTCTCAGCTTCATGGGATGTGAAATTGACAAGACAGTTAAATTCATGTTACAGTGACTCCTGTTCTCGGCCAATTAAATTAAATTTTTTAGATATAAGGCTCATTTAAAGGCACAGTTATAAACAGGCAGAGCTCTAACGGTAAAAAAAAGGCAAAAATACAGCATAAACTTTATGCATAAATTCACACAATTCTTTACAGCTAGCTTCTTATTTTTGGAATTTGTGTTTTAATTTATTTTTAAACCTGATACATCACAACACACCTCACAGAGTTAAAAGACTTGATTTTACATAACAAATCCCTTATGTGTTACAAATCATAATTAAAATGAAACCAAAATATTCTTTTAAGGTAGGATAATGAGAAATGACAGAAATCATTTTAAGTACATACAACTGTAACAATGTAATGTTGGAAATTGAATTTTTTCAGCAGTAATATAAATTTAAGCTTAAATATCAATTTCACACTTTGCTCAAGAGATCTCACCTGTCTGTGTAGTAAAATATATCATTCACAAAATTAAGTTTTTCCAATTTTTGTTAGATAGCTGCACTTTTTTAGGGACCCATACTTAGCTTTAGAGGAGCCTGGTGGAATTTCCCTAGCTCTCCCACCCTCTTGACAGGCCTGGGCACAAATAAACAGTATGGTTTGTTTGCATATGCAGGTTTTGAGGAAAAAAAATACAGAGGAACATGTTTTCAATTCTCCCTCACTTTTAGATTCCTCTTTCACAGTACTTGACTTTTTCAGACTCTTGAAGTTTATGGCCACTTTGAAATAGTATCATTTCCGAATTATCAACAGTTTAGTGCTATTGTAGTTAATGTTGCATAATTTAAAATTACATTGCTATCTATGTAAAATTTGATAAAATGTAACATATTTTAAAAATACTTATATAAATAGCAACTTTTTAATAATATGCAAAAATTAAGACATTGAATGAGAACTTTTAAGTGTTAACTGAAGTTGCGTCAAAGACTTCTGAGAACTTGAATTTATGTCACGGCTATTAAGGCTGTCTTCCACCATCCCTAATTTTCAACTATTGACTAAAGAGAAGGCAGCCAGTCAGCAGCACCCTACCATCCACCAAACATACCAAGAGACTGACTCTCTTATAATGCACCCACAGCCTAAAGTGTTGGAAATATTTTGTAATATCACACAAATTCAAGCCTGACTCTCTAGCTCCAAAATACAGAGTTCTATCACAAGCCCAACTCATGGCCCAAACATTTGAGAAACAATAACCTTAAACAGCTCATTACCAGAAATACATAAGTACATTCCAGTTTGCTAGTTTCTTTAGTAGTGTAACTCTCAACTTAGGTATATAAATTAAAAGGAAAACAGAAAACTTTAAAGGCATATTTAAAAGATACAGAGTTCCTGTATGTGATTATTCTCTAAATACCTTAGACTGGAAAATCTTAAAACTACTTTAGTTAACATACCTGACTTTTATTATCCTCATTTGGTGAATCATGGATATACAGAACATCCAAAAAAAAATAACAAGAATCAAGAAAGTTCTTTACTATCTGAAAAAAACAACAACATAAAAACTTAAACAGTTTATATATATTATCACATGAACAATTTTAAATGAATTTCTCCAATAAAGTTTTGGCTTGTTTCTTTCCAAGTAACATGCTTGTTGTGTATCCTTAAGCTAAACAGTTACTGTTCTTAGATCAAACACTTACATTTTAAAGATAAACTATTTATAATTGATTAAGTTTGTTGAAAAAGAATATTAATGGATACTAAGATACCTGAAGTAATTTCATGTTTGTTTCATAAAGATTATTCAGCCAATTAGCTTTGGGTGCATGTGTAAATAACACAAAAACAATGATTACTGAAGAAAATACTACAATTTGCTACATAGAAATTGTTATTCATTCCACTATCTACTATGTAAGTAATTATGACATACGTGAAAACCATTCACATAAATTAATTTGTTTGTTGTGAAGTATAAAGGTCCACAATGGGTTATCTGTGCTCTGCATACTGTCAGTATTGAAACCTGATTTTTAGCATTATAAGCAACCACATTTACTGATAAGCTATCAGGGGGATCATTTATAGTAGTTGTATGGAAAAACAAGGATGCAGGATTAGCTTATTCATAGTTTGTAGTGATGTAATAACACAGAAAAGATCCTAGGGATTCAGTTCTAAACCAAATATTTTGTTATAAAATTAATCTACAGAGTGAAATATTTACTACAAACATACAACAACTTGATTAAATGATTAATTCCATAAACGTAACTGGTATAAAGTATTGTGTGCTTTGTATTTCAGTAACTGAGAACACTGTTTCTGACTGTGATATTGAAGTTTGTCGTTTTTCTACTAGTTATAATACTCTTCCAGTATGGGAGTTGCTACACACAGAATATGATTCTATGCTTTACACATTGATAATAAAAACAATATTGCAAACAATTACTTTTACCTCTTGGTTTCTCTGAATTTCAGGCACGGTATTGGATCGACCATAAATCAGTAGAAGTCTTACCACATATGGTGGAGGAAGAACAGCTGGATTGGAAAGCATTGGCAGTTCTACTTGTTCTGACCTGATTAAATATAATCACAAATAACTTGGCATCTTAAGAAAATATTACCTAATATAAAACATATTAAAGTACAACTGTCATGGTTAGCAACCTATATGATTACCTGAGTGTGATTACTAATTAGTTACTCATTTATCTTTTTTTTCAATTACAAGACACTAATTACTAACTAGTTTATATCCTACACCTTTGCTTCAATCCTCAGGGAAGTTATTTCTAAAAACGGCTATTTCTTTGGTGGTAGTGGCTAGGCTTTCAATCATGGTTCTCGTGGACAGAAAGTATGATGAGCTATTCACTCCTCCAGATTCTATCTTATTTGGACTTGAATCAACTAACTTATTTGTATGCTCTTAAGAGGGATATCTAGGTTTTTAAAACTTCTATGCTTAGCATTACAAATCAGGTAAACATGGATGGCTCCGTTTTCTCTCTTTTTTCTTGTATATGATTTAAATCCCATTATTTTAGAATTATCCAATTTATCATACGGTGGTTCTTTCTAGTAATGATGGGCCATTACAAACAGATTGTTTTTACTAAGTCTTGTTTGTCTATTTTGCTCCTGAACTCTCACTTCTGTTGTTTTTTTTGCTTCTCCAATGTATTGGAACCCACATTCACAGGGAATGTTGTAAGGTATTTTTTTGCCCTCCGTTGAGTCTTTGGGTGTTTAGCATGTGATCATATAATGTTTAGTTTCTTTAACAAGTGTTCCAGGCATCCATTGTCAAGGAGTGTTGTAGTGATGTGTTTTTCTACATGCTAATATGCTGTGAAAGTATACTATATAATGCTCTATGCTTCTTTACTTGTAAGCTAACAAATCTGTCTTTTCATAAGTAGTTTGTGGATATGTCTCCTTCATAACAAACTATTCATTATTACAGGATTGAATAAAATAAAGACAATTGTACATTTCATAAACAATTCTGTAACAAACTTGTTTCAGTCTGTACCTGATGATGCTTTTACGGGGAAGCCATGATAGTAATAAATGATATATTTGTGAAATTATAACTTTTTTCCCCCAGTTCTATAATTATGGAGTTTCACCAAGTAACAACAGCTTCAAGTATTAATTATATAACTGTTCATTGTGTCATCTTAATCTTTAAGTATGTGAATAATCAACTTCTAACCAAATACATTAAAAAGTTTAAATGACGGTGCTGTTCTTAAAAGTGACATTTTATTTCATACTAAAGATGAGTTTCTTCCAAGAAATACACATGCTTCCTCAATTTCATATTCAACACAGTTTCCATTAATTTTCCTGAATGTATATGCATACTTCTATTCACACATGAACATTAAAATGTTTAGTGTTTAACTTAAGATAATGGATCAATAGCTTTTGACAAGTAAACAAATTAAGGACATTAAAATGTTTAGTATTTAACTTAAGATAATGGATCAATAGCTTTTGACAAGTAAACAAATTAAGGACATTAAAATGTTTAGTGTTTAACTTAAGATAATGGATCAATAACTCTTGACAAGTAAACAAATTAAGGACAATAAAAAGTTTAGTGTTTAACTTAAGATAATAAAATGGATCAATAGCTCTTGATAAGTAAACAAATTAAGGACATTAAAATGTTTAGTGTTTAACTTAAGATAATAAAATAGATCAATAGCTTTTGAGAAGTAAACAAATTAAGGACATTAAAAAGTTTAGTGTTTATTATGAATTGTTATTTAATTAAATTTATCTTTTGTTCACGAAAATTTTTTAATTTTAATATCTAACTTAATTGTATACTAAGTGGTTGTTCAAAAAACAAATAATTTTTTTACAGTAAACTTATTTATAGGCTTCTACTAATATCTAGGTTGTTCTAAGAAATCTTTATTATATGTACGTCTTTGGCAGGGATGTAGCAAAGGGACTTCCCCTTCCCTCCAAAATTCCATTTTTCATCACAAGTCCAATTTTCTGTTAATTCTGTAAGCAAAATTTTTTATCTGTCTTTTTGGAGGAATCTTGGAAGAAAAATAAATAACTTCTTATTGTTACAAATTTTCAAACAAACAATAAAAGTGCCAAGAAAAAGTTGGCAGATGTCTGGCAAATGGTGATAAAATTCCTAATTAAGTCATGTGCTACACGCTAGTTTGCCTATAGTTCTGATTGCACTTTAACTTTATCAATACCTTTTCTGTTTAAGAATATATAGAAATGCCAATTATATTTTAATGCAGAGTGGGCTATTTTGTTGAAAAAAATTCAGTCAAGCACCTCCTCAAAATATAGGGACTTCACCCCTAATCTTTGGTTTGGAAAGATGAATGTTTCATATACTTTACTTTTATGTGTGACATAATCAACATATTACTATTTGGTTTAAATGACACAGATGACATATTTTAAAGCTGTACTTACATAATTTCAAAAATAGATGATAAATCTGAATACTATGTTCAGGATAACTCACTGATAAGTATGAAGACACAACACAAAGGCACATAAAACCAATAACTAAGATACACATGAAACCTGTGACCTGGCAAGATTGATTTCATTCTCATGAGCTCTTGAAGATTTTTTCTTCAATAACTTCACAGAATCAATTTATGATAAAAGGTAAACTGGATACTTTTTTCAATGATAAAAAAAATTGCTGTACTATACCTGTTTAAACTATGAACCTATAAATCTTTTTTAAAAGACTACGGAACATATACAAGAAATTTTAGCTGTTACAATGACCTTAATTCATTTTTATTTAGTGGCCATATGCCACATTTCTCTGCATGGTTAGATTACATATTCATTCTTGAGAACAATCTCATTTAAAAAATAACACAGTTTAAAAATTATGGTTACATAAATGTTGCCTCTATGAAACAATCTTCAAAAAATAAAATCCATCAATTATTAGGTTATTAAGTAAAGTTGCATTTTGATTAAGTTGATTAGAATGTGTTACATTCAGAACCCTTTCCCCAGATATTTTAAGGTTCTCCGTGAAATTACCAACATAGTACTACTTGCTAGAAAAATTATAAACTACCTGGTGCAAGGAGTTACTAAGCCCAATTCAAAAACTTCAATTATTAAACATGTTGTGGAAAAAACCATAAAATCAAATATTCAGATTGTTATATGGTGTTTTACACATATTAATAAATTCTGTAAACTACATCTCAATCAGATTATTTGCTAAAACACACAAGAAAAATTTGAAATTCTTATTTGTGAACTAATGAACATCTTAATACTTCATTAACATTCTTTTTATAATGGCATAATCAGTGTTTTAGGCCTCCAGGTCTGACTACTTTATGATCAAAAATTGAATTTTAGGGCCCACTGTGCACAGTAACATAAACACAGTGGTTACAAGATAATTAAATTAAACATCTTGTTAAAGAAAACACCATCTTTAGAAAGTGTACTTGATTCAAAGTCTAAGCAGAAAACTGAGACCACAAGAAAAGGATACTACAAGCTTCACACGGCTTAGTTTCGTTCAAGTCTTCTAACATACAACATATTTCTTTAGGATCTGAAGTAAAATCTCCTAGCTGCATAAGAACAAGTATCATTACTAACATTACACATTACTTTCAATATGAGATAACATTACACATTACTTTCAATATGAGATAACATTACACATTACTTTCAATATGAGATAACATTACACATTACTTTCAACATGAGATAACATTACACATTACTTTCAATATGAGATAACATTACACATTACTTTCAATATGAGATAACATTACACATTACTTTCAATATGAGATAACATTACACATTACTTTCAATATGAGATAATATTACACATTACTTTTTATTTCTTATGTTTACTGTGAATTGAGTTTATTTGACAACTTTATTTTTGGATTGATTTCACATGTTTTCTTACAAGCTGATTTCTTTTTTATTTAAAGCTCATGTGCTAAAAGTGCTATAATGTACTTTTACTTAGCAAAAAATATAGCAACTTTGACATCTTGCTTACTTAATACACATAGTAATTAGGAAACTGTAATGTAAGATATCATATCTCCACAGCACAAACAAAACATTGTGGTTGAGGTCTTTCTCAAATCATTTAGTACCCTGAGGTTATCTTTTCTGGTTTTTTTATGTTTCATCCAACATTATTTGATATATCAAACTACAAAACTAAAGAAAAATCATAACTGTGACATTAAAAATTCATAATAAACTGCAAAATATAGGATCAAGGCACCAGAGGGGTTTTAAAAAATTGTGTCATATCTCATCAACTCATTCTAGTGATTGTTTTGTTTGATTTTAATATTGTGCAAAGCTACATGAGAGCTATGTGCACTAGCCATCCATAATTTAGTAGTTGTAGACTAGAGGGAAGGCAGCTAGAAAAAAAACATCCACTGCAAAGTCTTGAGCTATTCCTGTATCGTTGAATAGTGGGATTAACCTTCACATTATAATGCCCTCACAGCTGAAAGGGCAAGCATGTTTGGTGTTATGGGAATTCGGACGTGCGGCTCACAATTTGCAAGTTGAGTGCCCTAACCAGTAGGCCATGCCAGGCCTATTCCAGAAAACTGACAGAATCAACATCATTCGATAAAAAAATGTAGTTTGAGTATGTATCAAAATAATTTGTTTTTATACATTTAATCCTAAGGTTTTTCAGATACAAAAACTTTTCATTATTTGTTTATTGTCATTACCATTTGTTAACAAGGAAAAATACTATGTTACAAATTTCAATTAAGTAACATAACAAGTTTCATTATTTAAAAATAATCCAAGTAAGATTACATTAACCTTTATTCTTAAAAAAGAACTGAAGGACAGACTTTGCAGAGATGAGATCTGAAAATACATGATGTACAAGATAATTTTTTACTAAGACTGGTTTTCTATATACATTGCATTATTATGAACACAGTTCTTACCCACAGGGCATTTTCGTGGAGTACAGCCAGAACAAATTGATGTCTCTTGTCTATTCTGTGTTTGCTGTGGACAAATATTTCCAAGGTACGTTTCATCATTTCAAGAGCTGAAAGTCTTGAGCTAATTTTAAAATAGTTCCATATTACATCCACTGTTCGTTAAAAATTGAAAAAAATAAAATAAATTAAAAACCTATATAAATTTAATTCAACCTAGATAACTTATGCTTTAATTATTACAGCCATATTCTTAAATTTCAAACTTGTACATACAAAGATATTTAAACATGAACATTTCTGGACAAATCTATAACTTTTCTTATTAACACTTTCAATTTTCAGTTTAAATGTATAGATAATGATTCAAAATGAATCATTAAAGTACTCAAACAATTATGTAACAGAAGTGTTATGTATCTAAAATACTTCAATTTAAATATCTTACTGTTATTATAGGTATTAACATGAGTACTAAATCTTCAAGTTTTGAATGTTAAAAGTGATTTATTAACACAACAAAAGGTTAAGTGATGAAAAACATCGTATTTCTCATTGTTGCATCATGTGCAAATAATCTGTCACTTTCAGTTGTAAAAAGATATTTCTGTCTGCATTCATCTCTAGCAATACCAATATCTTATATTGTTTGCAACAAATTCTTTCATCTGAATACCAGATCAAATCATTTGCAAAATTTTCACCTGCAAGATGAACACTGCAAGCCAAGTCCTGATATAATGTTTAAATATACAAGACAACATAGAAAAAAGGATCTTAATATGGCATTATTTCATAAATTGTCGAAAAATAAATGTAACAGAAAGTATATAATACATTAAACTGAAGTCACACTGTCAATCATATAAATCAAAATGTCACCGTTTTGTGTTGAACTCTCATGGGGTGATATGCCAATCAGCACAGTCCATGATTGGCATGGAATGTAGCTCTTAAAGCTAGTAACAGTCAGATTTAAAATAATAATAATAATAATGCTTAAAAGTTAGTATAAGATTAAAGAACCCTAAACCCTAGATTGAAAACTTGGTTATACCATACATATTTTGCTAGATAATGAACCACTCAGAGACTAAGGTTCCAACTGGGACTTGGCTCAACCCCATATCAAATGAGCTTTAATGGTGAACAAGACAGAAATACTATTCACTGAAAATACCCCCCCCCCCCAAAAATAAAACAACAAACAAATACAATAAAAACTGTCTCAAGAGTTTAGTCCCAAATAATTAAAGGAACTACCCTGTTAATAGTTATGCAACACTTAAAACTTGTTTATTGTTGGATATACAGAGTATAATTTCTGTGGTTACAATGTTTCACCAGATTAACCTGGCATCATCAGATACAACTATTACAATATACCACCACAGTAAAGAAGTTTCAAGTCCAGCAAAAGTTTCAAAGGTTACATCACAGATTGTTTTAAACATTTACTACAAAAACTATGTATTATCTGGGAAAGATAAAAAAAATATATCCTTATTGAACATTATCTTTCACCAGCAATATAGTAGACTGCCAGAAAAGTATTCACACTCACCCATCTCCTAATTTAAATGGTGAGCTTTCCATCTCTGAAGACAAATCTACACAAATAATCTGAAATAGTAATTTAAACATAGTTTCAGACTAAGTGAATCAACATGTACTGAATATGTTAGTCTTACTACATATATCACAACCACATATTTTGCATTCAATGAGTTGATTCAGTCCATTTTACACTGACTACAACTTAAGTTCATAAGTTATATACATTTTGAAATAAACATACAATTCCTGAAAAATAAATCCAATTCTAATATTATACAAGTTTTGATTCCTTAATTTAAAAAGGTAATATATAAAAAAATTCTCAATCTCCCCTTGTCTGTGTAACGTTACATTTGTTTGCTCAACTTGCATATTTTCTCTTTTTCATCACCCCTCCATAATGTTCTGAGTTTAACATAAATTAATGATTATAGCATAGTATAATTTTTATAGTCTCCAGTCATCTTTGTTTATGGAAATATAAACCAGACAGTCAAACCAAGTTGCTGAACTTTCTTATCCCATTCTCTCTTTCACAAAATGTCAATAATTATTCTTAACATTTACTTTTATATCCTTTTTAACAAATAGAAAGACACGGTTTAAATTTACTGAATGCTGTATAATGTTAGCTTGTTCTCATGACAGCTTTTTAATTATTTGGCCAACAGGTTCAAAGTTCCTATCACTGAATTCAGATCGAGTAGCTAAGAAAAGTATTTTAAGGCATTTTTGCTTTAGTTAGAAAACAAGTTAAATTACAATAATTATAGTACATTGAATGCTTTGTGTGTGTGTTATCATTTTGTATTCTTAAGTGAATATTTTAAATAAATAAAAATTACTTTATGTACTACTAATGTAGTTACAAGAAAACAGGGTTAAGTCTAGACAGCAACAGAAAGCAAAAAACAAGAGACCAAACATAAGTACTAAATTTCCTGTTTTCTATGTATATTTTTTATTTATTGTTATAAAAGTAACTAAAATGTAAAAACGTGAAACTTGTTAATTTAGATAAGGTTATATTATGGTAGATAATGAAAAAATAATAATAAAAATTTCTCCATGAGGTATGCTTGCAAGCAGTTCATGCATCATTTAATTATATACCATAGCTTCAGCTACGTGTTCACCATGTGATTTACATTTTGTATTGGGTGTTCATTTATCAGACAGTTCAAAGAGCAACAATAAAATCAGATAAAACTGGATGTAAACTATTATGAGCCTTGAATAACTAATTTTCTGTTACAATCTGCAGTCATTCTAGAAAGCAAAAAGCATAATTTAGATTTTATTTTTTTGGTGGTTACAAATTTGGTCAAACAAATGAGTCCAGTTGGGTAGAGAAAATAAATGATAAATTATAAGCTTTTACTGAAAAAACTTTTGATATTCATTTACAAGGTTCTCAATATTATGCAAATATAATTTGCAACCAGTAAAATGGAAAAACATATTTTTAATCTTAGAATGAAAATCACTTTGCACTCAGACTAGTCAGAGTCATACTCTGACTTCCTAAATTCACAGACAAATCTATAGTAAAAATAATAAAAAATACACTTACTACATTAGTTATAGTATGGACAATTTCAAGATTACCTGGAGGTTATAAGGTTGGTCAAAAAGGCTGAGCCCACACATATATATATATATATATATATATATATAT